TACATGGTATTTTTACTATCACAAGTCACATTATGGAACCCATGTTCCAACTACTCGCAGGGTTTTATGCATTGATAACACCTTCCCACCACTTTCAGGGTATTCCCTATTGACCACCCTTCCCACCACTTACATGGGAATCCCTATTGATCACACCCCTTCCCACCACTTACATGGAATTCCCTATCAATCACACCTTCCCAACACTTTCATGGTATTCCCTATTGATCGCACTTCCCACCACTTACAAGGTGTTCCCTATTGATCACACTTATCGTTTACAGTGTTTCCCCTATCAATCCCAACTTCCCACCACTTACCGAGTATTCCCTATTGATCAAACCTTCCCACCACTTACAGTGTATTCCCTATTAATCACAACTTCCCACCAGTCACAGGGTATTCCCTATCAACCACACCTTCCCACCACTTTCAGGGTATTCCCTATTGACCACCCTTCCCACCACTTACGGGGTATCCCATATCAATCACAACTTCCGACCACTTACAGGTTATACTTTATTGATCACTATTCCCACCACTTACAGGGGATTCCCTATTGATCACAGCTTCCCACCACTTACAGGTTATTCCCTATCGATCACAGCTTCCCACCACTTACAGTGTATTCCCTATTAATCACACCTCTCATTTACAGTGTATTCCCTATCAATCACAAATTCCCACCACTTACAGGCTATTTCATATTGATTTCTTTTTATTTCATCATATTTCATTGAGTAAACAATAGGATTGAACAGCAGGCTAGGCCTATAAAAGTTCTCTCCTTAGATCCTTATTTCCCACCACTTACAGGCTATTTCATATTGATTTCTTTGTATTTCATCATATTTTATTGAGTAGACAATAGGATTGAACAGCAGGCTAGGCCTATATAAGTTCTCTCCTTAGATCCTTATTTCCCACCACTTACAGGATCTTTCATATTGATTTCTTTTTATTTCATCATATTTTATTGAGTAGACAATAGGATTGAACAGCAGGCTAGGCCTATATAAGTTCTCTCCTTAGATCCTTATTGATCACACATTCCCTCGACTTACATGGTATTTTTACTATCACATGTCACATTTTGGAACCCATGTTCCAACTACTTGCAGGGTTTTATGCATTGATAACACCTTCCCACCACTTACAGGGTATTATCTATTGATCAAACACAATGTTATGGTACAATGCATATGGCGAAATAGGCAGATAACAAATCATTGAATTCAAATGTAGAAATTTTATGTTTGCCATGAACTGATATCTTGTTAAAAGTTGCTTGGTCCATTGTACAAATAAAGGATGTAGTAACAACTTTTTATAAGATTTAAGAAATCATGATCATTTAAAAAAAAGCATGCATTAAAAAGAGTCATAAACAAGGTGCCCATGGTTTTCGGATGATCAGTGCATAGCCCAGACATGTTCTGTTAATCTGAAGTCCAATTGGAAATTCAAAACCTACAATTGATGAAAATACACCTGCTGTTGGCCATGGCATGATCGTAGGAAGCGACTAATATGGTATCCCAATGCAGAGTTTTGGATTTGTGTTTGTGCCCACTGTTTGGGTACACAAAAGCGACAAACATTAGTCTACTATACCCATTGGCAGTGTAATGTGTCCTGTCGGAATACGATGCTGGTTGCCGTCGGCGAGGTTCTCCAGGGAGGCAGCACAAATATCTGGGCATCAGATTACCAATACACATGTACCCTACCTCTAACATACATACACACATGTACCCTACCTCTAACATACATATACACATGTACCCTACCTCTAACATACATACACACATGTACCCTACCTCTAACATACATACACACATGTACCCTGCCTCTAACATACATACACACATGTACCCTACCTCTAACATACATACACACATGTACCCTGCCTCTAACATACATACACACATGTACCCTACCTCTAACATACATACACACATGTACCCTGCCTCTAACATACATACACACATGTACCCTACCTCTAACATACATACACACATGTACCCTGCCTCTAACATACATACACACATGTACCCTACCTCTAACATATAACACACATGTACCCTGCCTCTAACATACATACACACATGTACCCTACCTCTAACATACATACACAAATGTATCCTGCCTCTAACATACATACACACATGTATCCTGCCTCTAACATACAAACACGCATGTACCCTACCTCTAACATACATACACACATGTACCCTACCTCTCACATATAACACACATGTATCCTGCCTATAACATAAATACACACATGTATCCTGCCTCTAACATACATATACAAATGTACCGTGCCTCTAACTTACATACACACATGTATCAAGCCTCTAACATATAAACACACATGTACCCTGTCTCTAACATATAACACACATGTACCATGCCTCTAACAAATAACACACTTGTATCCTGCCTCTAACATACATACACACATGTATCCTGCCTATAACAAAAATACACACATGTATCCTGCCTCTAACATACATACACAAATGTACTGTGCCTCTAACATACATACACACATGTATCCAGCCTCTAACAAATATACACACATGTACCCTGTCTCTAACATATAACACACATGTACCATGCCTCTAACAAACATACACACATGTACCCTACCTCTAACATACATATACACATGTATCCTGCCTATAACAAAAATACACACATGTATCCTGCCTCTAACATACATACACAAATGTACCGTGCCTCTAACATACATACACACATGTATCCAGCCTCTAACATATATACATACATGTACCCTGTCTCTATCATATAACACACATGTATACTGCCTCTAACATACATACACACATGTATCCTGCCTATAACATACATACACAAATGTACCTTGCCTATAACATACATACCCACATGTCTCCTGCCTCTAACATACATACAGACATGTATCCTCACCCCTAACATACATACACATATGTATCCTGCCTCTAACATACATACACACACGTATCTTACCTCTGACATATAACACAAATGTATCCTGTCTCTAACATATAACACAAATATATACTACCACTTACATTTAGCACATATATATCCTGCCTCTATCATATAACACACATGTATCCTGCCTCAAACATACAACACACATGTTCCGTGCCTCTAACATACATACACACATGTACCCTCCCTCTAACATAGAAAGCCACATGTACACTCCCTCTAACATATAACACACCTTTATCCTGCCTCTAACATATTACACACATGTGTCCTGCCTCTTACATATACCACATTTGTATCCTGCCTCTAACATACACACCCACATGTACCTTGCCTCTAACATACATAGCCACATGTACCCTGCCTCTAACTAACATACACACATGTACCTTGCCTCTAACATATAACACACATGTACCCTGCCTCTTACATACATACACACATGTACCCTGCCTATAACATACATACACACATGTACCCTGCCTATAACATACATACACACATGAACCCTGCCTATAACATACATACACACATGAACCCTGCCTAAAACATACATAGCCAAATGTACCCTGCCTCTAACATAGATACACACATGTACCCTGCCTCTAACATAGATACACATGTACCCTGCCTCTAACATACACACCCACATGTACCTTGCCTCTAACATACATAGTCACATGTACCCTGCCTCTAACATATAACACACATATATCCTGCCTCAATCATGTAACACACCTGTATCCTGTCTCTAACATATAACACACATGTATCCCGCCTCTAACATATAACACACATGTACCCTGTCCCTAACGTACATACATATGTAAACACATTTATCCTGCCGCTAGCATACAAACACACATGCATGCATTTTTTTCTACCCCAGACTGATCCCGGGACTGAGCTACAGCTGAACAGATAAATAAGCAGAATTTGAATTATGATTCGACTTGTGTGACCATGACAGCGACATCGACATAGACGTGAAGAGAAGGAAATTTGTGTTGAATTTTGTCGAATTGGTACAAAGATACAAACAAAAGTAACATACCATTAACAGTTTGCCTTACTAATTAATTATATGATGGACAAAGAGAAGTATATAAAATGTTTACATTTTCGAATTGTGACTACATATAGATATAGGACAGATGTACTGGCAACACAAGCCGAGTCAAAAAACAAGGAGTGTCTATCTGCTCAGCCGTCCCTGGTTCAGTCTGGGGCAGAATAGTAAAAAGGCTCGTACTAGGCTAACTTATTGTTTCCCACACAGAAGTCGATGTATCATTGGAACTGCTCGAGTTCACTTATCATCATGTGATTAATAGTTAGCTTTGATGTAAAATAATGAATCATGATATATAGTTGATTTAAATGCAAGTGCGTACTTTCGGTTTCGATTCCTATAATTCCTTGACTGTTCTATTTTGGTTTCGATTTAGTATTTTTCTGAATTAGGAATAAACAATGGCTTAACTACTTCTATTTGTCCATCATATAATTAGTAAGGCAAATGGTTAATTGTATGTTATTTTTGTTTGTAGCTTTTTATCAATTCGACACAATTCAACACTTATTCACTTCTCGGGGTCACGTCTATATGTCGATGTCGCTGTCATGGTCGCACAAGGCGAGTCACAATACAAGTTCTGGTTATCTACCTGTTCAGCTGTAGGTCAATCCCGGGATCAGTCTGGGGCAGAATATGCATACATTATAAAAACGAAGGCACGTCTAAATGAAAGTAGCTGTTAATAGGACGTTTAACCATATACAAACAAACCAATCGAAATATCGATTATGCATTAAAAATAGCATTGGGCTCTTGGCCAGCTAAAGGGATAGATCTATGATTTCACAGCAGCAGCAATATTTCGTAGTAAATTTATTATTTTGTGTTATGTAATTGTTTTAATTGATAAATAGCGGATTGGTTCGATTTATTGTTGTCGCTTCTACTCCACCCAAGTTAATGTTATATATTACCCGTTTTTGGCCTCTAGCTTATCTATTCGATAACACGGGTCTCCGGAGCACTGGCAAAAATTGTCCCGCTGCATTGGCACCGTCAGCATTTATAGCTTTGATAAATCCTTTCTGAAAGAAAACTATATCTTGTGGGACTTTTATGAAAAGACGATATGGATGATTAACAGATATAAACAAAACATAATCAACAAAAGTGTTTTGATTGTAGAATTAAAGCAAGACCGAGATTCGAATCCTGGGCCGCTTCAGATTATAAATTATCACTTAAACCGAGTGAGGAACATACATTTTACTTAGGAACGGTAGTGTTGTGGCCCAACTGTGCTATTAAAAAGGAACATGAGGGGAGGTTAAAGTTTATATAAAAAGAAGTTCTTATGCGGCATGGGTGGAAGTTTTTCTATCAACTCTTCATCGAAGGCAATTTGAACCGGAAGCATTGTGTAATCGGTAAAATGCATGTATGCAGCAGGACTACTGGATCCGGACCTACCTTTGATCTGGCACGTCGCCACCTGCCACCGTTATCGTTATATGATGTGTCACATGGCCTGATATTGAACAATGAGCAAGGTTTGAATCCTAGGATATATATATCAATTCATTTTGTGCTTTAGTCTCAAAGACAAAGTAGGTTGTTTGTTCATAACTGTCAGAAAAAGCATAGTAGCAACAGCCATGGGGCAGTGCCTGTCTAGTCCGGGTGGAAATAGGACCAGCACCCCTGGTGACTTGGTTCTGTCGTCCGCCATAACGGATCCTAATATTACCGATAGCAGACAGGAACATCATGATCAGCGGGCCCAACAGGTAAGTGCCGGTACACCATGACATACACGTATAGTGGCTTGACTGGAATAAGTATTAATACTGAGATTTCTCTATATGGACAATCACATCTCGATGCCCACATGTAAGGGGTGTACTTCTGAGTGCAAACATTTTTAATTCACGTGGAGTTAAATGCCTTCATACGGTGTCGTCTCACTGAGCGCACCATTGGTATTTCCTACATACAGATAAGGTGTTGGTTACATGCTAGGTGAGATTTGGGGTCAGTTAGAGAACAAAACAATTACATTACAGGTAAACCATAGTCTGTATTATAAAGTGTCTTAACATATATGTATATGAACGCTTACATAGAGAAACAGCAGAGCAGTGAGCTTTGCTATAAAATTCTGTTTATTTATGTTTTTGCTTTAACCGGTTTCATACTACACATGGCCGGCTTTTTACCTCCCCGTATAGCTGAAGCATGGTGAAAAGAAAACAAGACGCACGGATTGGGGGAGGGGGATACATTTTCTGTGTAAAACATCAGCATGTGCCTGGCTTGTATAATATAAAATCAAATCGAAATCAAACTAAGTCATAGCGATGTAGATATTGTAGTACCTATGATGGAACAAATAGAACATTCTTTTTAATTTAAACAAAAGATTGAATTACTCTATCGTTGTTGTGTTAATATGAAACCTTTCATAAAAGTACACGAATAAAAGTATAGAACGGCTGATAACATTTACTCGTATCACGTAGCAGTTACCAGACCCCCTCTCACCGTAAAACACAAATCAAATTATATGTTCAGGGACGCCATTTTTATCATAAGTTTGTGAGATATGTTACATACAACCAGGTTTAAAACGACACTAATGTTAACCGCCATATTCTCAGTAAAGTAGAATGATCATACTATTACAATAGATGACAGTAAACACTGAAATGACATGTTATTCTAACACTAAAATGACATGTTATTCTTACTTTAAAATGACAGGTTATTCTAACACTGATATGTCAATATCCAACCCCCCATTCCCCACACCCCATATATATATATATATATATATACTCACTTGAGATATTATACAAGCATCTAAATATGTATATTGATATTAGTTAAACGTTTTTCTTTATTCATTAATGTTTTCGTAAATAGGGTGAACACTGTAATACACTGGACATAACACCGTAGATAATGTAGTGAACTGGACATAACACCGTAGAAAATGTAGTGAACTGGACATAACACCGTAGATAAGAACTGGACATAACACCGTAGATAATGTAATGCGCACTGGAGAAAACACCGTAGATAATTTAGTGAACTGGACATAACACCGTAGATAATGTAGTATATAGGGCATAACACAACAGCTAATGTAGTGAACTGGGCATAACACCGTAGATAATGTAGTGAACTGGACATAACACAACAGCTAATGTAGTGCACTGGACATAACACCGTAGATAATGTAATGCGCTGGACATAACACCGTAGACAATGTAGTGAACTGGACATAACACCGTAGATAATGTAGTGAACTGGACATAACACCGTAGATAAGAACTGGACATAACACCGTAGATAATGTAATGCGCTGGACATAACACCGTAGACAATGTAGTGAACTGGACATAACACCGTAGATAGGAACTGGACATAACACCGTCGATAATGTAATGCGCACTGGAGAAAACACCATAGATAATGTAGTGAACTGGACATAACACCGTAGATAGGAACTGGACATAACACCGTCGATAATGTAATGCGCACTGGAGAAAACACCATAGATAATGTAGTGAACTGGACATAACACCGTAGATAAGAACTGGACATAACACCCTAGATAATGTAATGCGCTGGACATAACACCGTAGACAATGTTGTGAACTGGACATAACACCGTAGATAATGTAGTGAACTGGACATAACACAACAGCTAATGTAGTGAACTGGACATAACACCGTAGATAAGAACTGGACATAACACCGTAGATAATGTAATTCACTTGACAAAACAGGGTAGATAATGTAGTATATTGGACATTAAACAACCGATGATGTGGTGAACTGGACATAACACCGTAGATAATGTAGTGAACTGGACATAACACCGTAGATAGGAACTGGACATAACACCGTCGATAATGTAATGCGCACTGGAGAAAACACCATAGATAATGTAGTGAACTGGACATAACACCGTAGATAAGAACTGTTTATAACATCGTAGATGATGTAGTGCACTGGGCATAACACCGAAGATAATGTAGTGCACTGAATATAACCCGTAGACAATGAAGTGAACCGGACATAACACCGTAGATAATGTAATGGACTGGACTTAACACCGGAGATAATGTAATGCACTGGATATAACACCGTAGACAATGTAG